ATTCGTAGTAGAGTGACGACGGCTACCACGTTTTCCCGCCAAAATGACGCTGGTTCACACGCGAGCACTACTTAGTACTGAGAAAATCTCGTACTCGTTGTCGTACTCGTCTTAGAATCTAAAGCTCTCTAATTACAGGTGTATGTACAATCAAGTTATCACAAATTTTTGCAAGCGCAGTAACTGAAGCGCAATGCTACTGGTGCAAACTGAAAGAACCACGTACAAGCTGAAAGCGAAGTATTTCTAGGCGCTACTGTTTATACATGTACCTTGATCCATAGGTCAGGTATGGCCATACCAAGACGATAATCAAAGCCTGTTCCACCTTCTGCAATTGGACGACATAAGCCTGGCATTCCTGACACCTCCTATAAACAATTAACCTAGCTGAGTTAGTACTAGTGGATTACATTTTACTGTCACATGGCATCCACGAACTACAGGTCATAAAAAGGAAATCACAGACGACTAAATCTGCTACATGTATCCGAAAATGGAATTTGAAATATCCTAACACCGAATCCTCTTAAAAAAAACTACCCACCAGTCCAACCTAGGAAAGAAGACCTAACATGTCTCTCCTTACACCCATCACCTCCTAATAGATGCAGTGAGTCTTATCTAACCACCCGGAAGGTGATGTTCACCTCCACGCCCAGCCTTGGCCAATAACACCCTCTTATCTATGCTAAATAATAATTATTATTCATATCATACTCATCCTCATCCAATGATTGCTAAATAATATCGTAAGAAACTAATGTTACTAGAGTTTAAATTACATTGTAACAAACAAAGTTAAATGAACACCTCCTCTGGAAATGTGAATAGTTTATGTGCTGTTACTCTTGATGTTTCACACAATGTTTAATTTACCTCTGCGATGGTGATGACTTATAGTTTAAAGTTAAAAACAAAGTTACACAAATTCCTGCTCTGGAAATGGGAATAGTTTATGTGTTGTTACTCTTGATATTTTAAACAATGACTGTTTATTTTACCTCTGCTATAGTAATGACTCCAGGATAAAGAGAATGAAGCATATCATTGGCTAACATCAGGTAGATAAGTGAATCTGTGTCCACCCCAAGTCCATAATAATCTGGGTAGTCTCCACCAAAGCCATGTCCAAGTCCATGGTCATGATAAATCATGGATGTGACACCATCAAATCTAAAGCCATCAAACTTATAGTTCTCCATATACCATCGAAGATTGGAAAGAAGAAATCTTAACACTTCCCACCTGATCATGCGGTAAAAAACAATAAAGTACATGTATTAGAAAAATGATAATTATCTGAGGTGCATGTGTCGGAAACTGGTCATTTCAATACAAAGGTGTTTCGATACAAGTCATTTCAATACTAACCCAAGCAGTGAAATTGCATAAAAAATTTTGTTCACCTTAAGTATAGTTTGCGAGTAAACAAGAAAGACATTTTGGGTGAATATTCTTTGTTCTTTAAGCCAGTGCGAGGAACTACACCTCGACTGAAAAAACTTGTATTGAAACAACTTTGTATCGAAACTACAAAAGTTGTGAAGTGCTTGTTTCTTTATCACACGTTTTGGTCTTACAAAACCTACATGTAAAAATGTTGGAGGATGGATTCCATCAAGAGGTACAGTGTACATAAATTTTTGTACAGAGGTTTGATGAAAGTCAGTTCATTAGATCTGGTTTTTGAGAGAATTATTACCCTTTTTACTTTTGTAAGACTGCGTGATTTTCGAGGATTTCCTTGAGAAGGATTGGACAACTTCTACGATTATGAATGAAGTTCTAGGTTTTTCAAGGTCCATAGTGCATGTAAGACTTTAAGTCCCAAGATTGACCAACATTAATTTTCTCCTAACAATATCAATATACACTGTATCATCAAGAGAAAAGATTGGGAAAATTAATAAAACAATGACCAAACAAAAAATGGTTGAAACAGATGTTGAAAAACACATGCCAAGGGTAATGGCATCGTTACTAGTGTCATCTCCGCCAATTAGCATTTCACATCAACTTTTTTGACGCAGATATTCAAATTCCAGAGAAATAGTTGCAAGTTCTCCTTCCTTTTCCTACCCCACCGCCACAGCGCCCTGGAGGGCTTGCTCGCAGGCTATGTATGGAGACAAGTGTGGAGAATTAGTGTGTGGATATTGGGACTCAAAGAGTGAACAACGGTCAATATTAAAAAGCACGTCATTAGATTTTACCACTCACTTGGTATAATCAAACAGCCGGCTGTCCCAGAGATCATGGAAGCCCCGTCCACCATCATGAAAATGACAGCTGTGAGTGCCGTCAAATTGATTGAGTCCATCAAGCACATTCTTTGCTGCATGGCTATGTACCACATCTAGTAAGACTAGAATGCCATTACCATGAGCGACGTCAATTAATTCCTTTAACTCCTCTGGTGTTCCATAACGACTGAGCGACATTAAACAACAAGAAAAAATGTCATTATCTACATGTAACTGAAGTTCTTTTCCAAGGTTGCAGTAAGGACTTTATGGCACAAGTGGAGAAAATTGATTAATTAACATGCTTTTCAATAATTCTTTTTTGTTTGTGTATTCTGAGTGTCCCCACCAAGTTGAACAACCTTTTCACTCGTAATGGTGACCAAAGAGGAGTTTAACAAAGAAAACCTTACATTTTATTTTGTAACATCAGTAGAAATAAATAGTACTATGTCAAAGTTGTTTAAAAGAAGCTTCGTTAATTAATGGTAACACAATAAGAATTCATAGACAGATTAAAAAGTGACAGTTATAAAGACCTCGCAATAAAATGGTGTAGGAGTAAAAAGGTAGCAAAACAATGATAAATATCAATATTATTAACAACACTAATATTGAAAAAATAGTCTGCATAATTTACCCTGTCACTTGGGCATAAATAAAGATGATCTGTAGCCTCTGGTTTCGAAACTATTTCACTTTCAAAACATGTGAAATGCCAAAAGCGTCACAGTTCAGGACAACTTACAAGTACATACACATATTAGGCCAAGTTGCTTTGAACTATCATTGGTTTTACAAGAAAGACTTGAAGAGCGGCAGTGTAGCCGAGAGGTTACAGTAATGCACTTGTAATACAGATGCACCAAGTTCAGGTCTCACCCTGACCACTAGCTGGACTTGTTCTCTGTAGTCCTGAGCTCAAATCGGCTGCCACGCTTGTAAATAGCCAACTGGTTCGCCTCCAGCCAGTTGGGATTCTTGACCTTGCTATTTGAATTATTTGTTTCATATCCCTGAAAAGCCCCAGAAGGGAAGAGGAGAATTATGCATTTATTGTTATAGTTACCTGGAAGCTGCAAAGAAGTTTGTTACTTGGTAACCGAAGCAGGCATAATATGCATGCTCCATAACAGCCATAAGTTGTATACAGTTATATCCTAGCTTCTTTATTCTTGGAATAACATTGTAAGCAAACTCTTTGTAACTGGCCACTCTAAGTTCAGGGGAGGCTATACCAACATGGCACTCATAAATGCGCAAGCCTGAAGTTTTCTTGGGTTTACTATTTTGCCACTGGTAGGGCTGTGGTGGATCCCAATGAATTCCTACATACAGGTGTGTTCCATCATTTGGATCAACTGCATAGCGAATCCATGGAGAAACACGGTCCACTAGATCACCATTTTCAAGCTGGATTGCAACCTGAGATGGAATTACATGTAATTCAGTGTTCAATCTAGAAATTAGTCAAAGTGGGTCACATGTCCCATATGGCATTTTCAATTGAGTTCTGGGTCAAATTATGATATTGAAACTTTGAACTGACATCATCCAAACTATCATGAGCTTCACCACTATCCTTATCCAGCCCTTCTTTGTGTTTTTGTTGTTGTTTCATAACGAATAAAGGAAAAGAACAAATTCAACAAACAAAGCATAAATTGATTGGCAAAGCAATGCGTGCAGGACATCAAAAAGTACACTCCAATCTCTCTCTGTACAGTGCGAAAGGCCTGAAACAAAAGCTACTCATAAGGACATAGACTGAAATGACAGTCACTTTTGAGTGCTTATTTCAGGCTAGTGAGGACACCTTTTTTATTTTTAATTTTGACTGCTGCTTTGGAAGTACTTGTATTTGAGGTAACCTTTTTTGCATCAGTGTGAATCCACAATAATTTCACTTTGCATCAGAATTGGAATATTCTGCGTCAATGACACAAAAACGCAGCCTAGATTTAACACTGATTATTTCATTTCTTTTCAATTGCACATTATATTTATTTATATAAAAAAAGCTTAAAGTTATAGGTATCCACAGATGCAGACCATCCGTGTCAGATAGTCCAAGATAGATAGTGTTCATGTGCAAAAACGCTCCCCAAAGCCTTTTATTCTCATTACCAGTATAAAAAATGTTCTTTAACATCAACAATTTGTTGAAAGTTTAGCAGAGCTTTCGGAACACATCAGGATCCCTTTTATCAGTGACGACATTTAGGGGTGGCGAATGGTACATGTACTTCGAAAAACATGGGTCTCAGAAAAAATTTGGCAGGATCTCGAAATCTCGGAAGCATTTTTGATAAGACTTGAAGTCTCGTTTTTTCATGGTTTGTTTTTACTTTTTTGAGTCTCGAAACTTTCCACCAAAGAGTCTTGGGCTCGGATTTCTAACTAGGATCTCGGCGTCTCGGATTTTACCATTCACCACCCCTACATCTGATGTTATTCACAGCCTCGTTTTGATGAGGCTGCAAAATTGTTCCATGAATTGGGGGAAGGTTGTAGCCCTTATCACGGTTCATTTCCGGTTGCCACATATGAATGTTTATGAACTTGCGGGGAGGCAACATTTTTGCCTTTAATTACAGCATTACAGTTGATACCTGCCAGTCATTTTAAATCACACCGGAAAAAACAACTCAAATAGTATGCGTTCTCCTTCGATGAACGCAATAACAACTTGTCTCCTTGGAAACTGTGATTAACTTACTTACCTTAACTTTTGATCCATGGGGAATAGGGGATGATCCATCTTCCTTATAAGGCAAGGTTAGTTCCCAGACCCCATACTCATTTCTTGTGCATCCATGAGAAGTCCTGTTCCATCCATCTAGAAAAAAACAACGTCAACAAAAACTCTTTGCATCAGCTGACAGCCTCCAAGTTACAACCATTCTCTAAAAATTTTGACTCTTAGACCTGCTATGAAGGCTTTCATTTTTACCCAAATAGGTGTCACTTAGGGTTACACAAAGAAATATCTATGTAATTTAAAGAAACCTCATTGAGGTAAAGCCTAAGGCATGACCAGATGATCAGGCCCTCACTATCAGGGTGTTCAACAGTTTTTGAAGTAGGAGTTGCGTTTATTTGAGTAGGAGTTGCAAGGCCCGGAGGGCCTTGCTCTCTAGGGGGGTCTGGGGGCATGCTTCCCCAGGAAATTTTGAATTTCTAGACTCTTGGAGACGCATTTTCCCGCATTTTGAGACGCAGAACTAGCAAATTTTAGATATCGAAAATACTGATAAATTTTGATGCTTTTAGTAACTTTAACCACAATATTAGGGTACGCTTTAACCACAATCAGGGTTTTTATGTGGCATATTGTTGTAAGTTAATATTTAATGTTAAGATTTGGATTTTAAG